ACTCCCAAATTGGCTGGGAGTCCCGATCGCGCTACCACTATGGTGCCAGTTTCGCTCCGTAGAATGGCGATATCTGAGTAAGTGCTTGCAATATTTCGGCCCATTTCAATTTTTTATCCCGTTTTTCCTACAAAACGTTTTGAGTGTCGTACAAGTACAGTAGCAGCCTCGTCTTCGGGCATCGAGCTCTCTGGTCGATAGACCGAAATACACCGACCCATAAGCAAAAACTGCTTACAACAATACATACTAACCAGGGAAGGCTTAACTTCCCATGGAACTTTGAGCAGGGACCTAGGCGAATCGAGAGAGCCTGGGATGCTGGTTACAAATATCGAGTTCAAAACTGCTATGTAAGCCTGCCAAGGAAGTTGTGAGCAATCAAACAGGTCCGGTCAATTCCCGTCAGGACAAAATTTTTGCATTTCAAGTGGGGGCTTCCAAAGTGGTGCTAGAAGGCGCCAGTGCCAAGAGAAGATGCCATATTCGCAATCGTATAATCGGGATTTCTTTTTTCTGATTTTGTCTTAAAATCACTCAATCCAATGAGACGTTACCTAGCGCATGAGTGACAGTGTGTGACAAATGACATCACTTATGACGTACAGAAATCGAGGACCGAGTCCTGGATCAAATCTTGACCGGGAGCAGACCTCCTACCGATCTGGGTTGGTTAACTGCTACCAGGCCTGTCCTGGAAGTGTACAAACACTGCCTTGTAAATGCGGCTGCCCTGGAAGTCATTGTGTAGATCATTCCATCTAAAAGCCACCACGATACTGAATGAAAGTGGAAAGCATGGCTCACTCTGAGTGGGATTGATCAACGCCTGAGGTGCCTTCTCCTCGTTTAGTAGGATCTCCATAAATCCAGCAATAGGTTATAGCGGAAACCGTGGGTTTTGAGGTTGCCACGGAAGCGGCATCCGGCCACTACAGTTTCCCGTGCCTGAATTATTTCTGAACAGAATCCTTAAAAGCGATTACAAGCTCTTGTAGAGGCCAAATCGTGTCAAATGTTACTGCAATTCTGATCGGAAGTGAAGTGCGTGGCGCATCCGAGAGCAGAATCGATTGATTTCAAACGCATTGAAGATGTTTGTACTGACTGCTTCATTGTTCTATTACTTTTTATATTCTGACAATTCTTGGATCGTAGCTGGACTAAAGCGCCTATATGTATCGCTAAAGCAAATATAGTACCAAGTTCCTCGAAGGGCACCATGTTTGCAGATGGTTTTAGGGCGGTGGAGACCACTAGCAAACTACGCATTCTTGCCGGTCTCCTATCTCATGAGCCATCCTAAATGTGCTGTGACAGGTCTAAAATGACACCTACTGAAAC